CTCACTACAAGAAAGACATTGAGGTGCTGGAGCGTGTCCAGAGAAGGGCAACGAAGCTGGTGAAGGGTCTAGAGCACAAGTCTTACGAGGAGCGGCTGAGGGAAGTGGGGTTGTTTAGCCTGGAGAAAAGGAGGCTGAGGGGAGACCTTATCACTCTCTACAGCTACCTGCAAGGAGGTTGTAGTGAGGTGGGGGTCGATCTTTTCTCCGACAAGTGATAACAAGTGATAGGATGAGAGGAAATGGCCTCAAATTGCACCAGGGGAGGTTTAGATTGGATATTAGGAAAAAAATCTTCACTGAAAGGGTTGTCAAGCACTGGAACAGGCTACCCAGGGAAGTGGTTGAGTCCCTATCCCTGGAGATATTTAAAAGACCTGTAGATGTTGGACATGGTTTAGTGGTGGACTTGGCAGTGCTAGGTTAACGGTTGGACTTGATTATCTTTTCCAAGCTAAACGATTCTGTCATTCTGATAAGACACAGCAAAGCCAAGCAGCATGAGATTTGTAGTTCATCTGAGACGGGGATAGTGTATTTAATGACTAGAGAAATCATTCTCTGACTTGATTTCTAATTTGCTGAGTATTAGGAAGCTGGGAAAACAAACAAATGGGAGAAAATATGAGCGAGGCAGAAGAATACTGACCTGTAAGTTTTAATCTGAAAGCATAAATGCTTTAGTAGCAAATCAGAGTATCAAGATTATACTCTACCAAAGGAAGTCCCTTTCTAAGGCAATTCAGGCCAGAGAAAAAATGCCTAGGAATTTTTCTAAATCAGGATGTAAATGTTTACAAGATCCATGCCTACAAAATCTTTCACTTTATAACAAAGTACAGATATTCACAACTTTAGTTAAACTGGCATGAGATTTTGGGTAGCATGCTGATAATTGGCAGACTGATAACATCCATCTAATTTCATTTTTGGAAAATTAACAGTTACAGATTCATCCTAATGAGTAAAACATGGGGAAAACAGTAAAAAATGTAGTATGCTTATTCAGAAAATGCATGTTAATTTTATTAACTACTCTTCAGACCTTATTGTCTTATACATTGTTTAGTAAAGTAATGAAATCATAACCTCTTCAATAGATGTTTGACTGTGAGAGAAAACTTAAATCCCAGATAGCATCTTTTGTTGCCTAAACAATGCAGGAAACATGTTAGTGAAAGGAAACATGGTCTCTTGGGGATGGGGTGGAGGGTGAGGGAAGAACAACTGAACACTAAACATACATACGTTCTTTCTCTTTTTCCATTTCTTTTTCTTCCCAGAATGTTATACAGCAAATGGGGCTGACTATCGTGGCACTCAGAACCAGACCTCCCAATATGCAGGGAAACCTTGTCTTTTTTGGAATGAGACCTTTCAGCATCCTTATAATACTTTGAAATATCCCAATGGGGAGGGAGGGCTTGGAGAGCATAACTACTGCAGGTAAGAAATATCTCGTTGCTACTAACGTTGCCTATATACCCAGTGTTACTTGAAACAGTTGACACAAAATTAGGAAACTTCCTGTTGTATAGTGAAGAATGTCAGAACCGTGGCTATCTAACAGCTTTTGTTTTATCCTGTAATCAGTACCCTGGATCTACAAGCACCATTAGTAGAATAACTTTTTCAACCTAGCTCTCACCCGAAGTCCATATCATATATCCAATCTATATTTGGCATGACAGAGAAAGACTACTTAAATGAAAAGGTGGAGATGATAAAAAAATTGATCCCAGTCAGAAGTACAGAAGCAGTAGTGAATGTCTGTAGGAGTCTCTGGAACATTATGTTTTTTATCCTCACTCACAAGCCTGGTTCTGTTATACACTATGTTTCCGAGTTTTGTGCAAATGAAAGTTATGTAGTCACTAAAAATTCTCAGTAAGCATAAGCTGTTCAGTGACTTAGAGTTCTTATTTGAATCCAGAAGCTCAACCGTCAGTGGTTACAATACCAGCTCAAACCATGGCAGATCCACTTTCATTTCCTTGCCTTCTAGAGAAGTCCTCCATAACTATGGATAGAACTCAGAATGAAATGTAAATAAGAACTTCAGAATTTAGGACCCAAATAAGAACCTAAGTTCAGAGATGTTTAGGCTCTGCAGGCTCTTTTCAGCCTGCAACATTTCACTTCTTAACTTTCACAAAGTTACATGCACTTCTGCCTTTGCAGGGCTGACCAGCTAAGTTTTTATGCCCATCTATACTTGCTATGGAAACAGGTGGGGAATAACGTGATAGATAGATTCCTTAAACAGTGATAATCATCAGCTCATCTAGCATGGTGTCTTACTCACTGGGTAATGAGGACAGAGATGTTTAAACCAAGAGATTAAGAATTTAGTTACCTGGGGCATAGCAAGAAAAGCTGTAATGTCTCCTTTGTGAGAAGGTTCAAACCACACCTCAAATCTCCTGGAAGATGCCTTTACTTAACAGATTATAGGCTTTCTTGGGTAGAGCCTATACACTTGCCACCTTCATGTTGAAATCATTTCACTGTAAGCAATATAAATCAGGATAAATTAAGCAAAATTAATATGCAGGAGTTCACCACAATTGTTGTGTCATGAACATAGGGTCCTGGTTCTTGATCCAAGAACTTTTCCATATTTAATCAGAAATAGACATTCAGGGAAATATGACAGAGACAGAGCCAGCCAATTAATGGAGAGTAAGTAAGAAAGCACAGAAAAGAGGTCTTGTGACATGCATCACAGATGAGCATGTTGATGAAAGGAGTCTGTGGCATTTCCAGAGTATTTGATGACTCAGGAGGATATTTCTCATTGAAGAACATCGGTGAAGGACAGGGAAGAAAAAGACTTATTCGGGATTTCCAGTGGCTGCAGCAGTGCTTCAAAATAACACTGTTCAATGTGTTGCACCAGTGGACTCTGTTTTCAGCCATAGAAGGAGAAAGCGTTATTGCCAAGTTCTGAATTGACTTTCTTTTGAATCAGTTCAGCATCTTATAGGAGCAAAGAAAAATACACCACCTACAAGAGAAACTCCATAGAAGCTGGGCCTTCTCTTTAGAAAATGGCCTGGAAACCAAATAAACCCATCAAGCTGTCTAGTATCAGATCGGCATGTGAACACTGGAAAGACTGTCTTCCCATCAAAAACATTTCACACCAACTTCACAGCCTCCCTCAGCCCAGCAACAGCAAATGCACAATGATTCTCATGACATGTAGAGAGCTGTGTCTCTCAGTATGCATACAAATACAGAGCTATAAAAAGGCTAGTGGCCACTGAATTATCTCTGATACAAATAGCAGAAGCAAGAACATAATTTTGATTGTTGCTGTGTGGCAATATCCTAGATAGACTGTATCTACATGTTCTTACTTTTGGCAGTCATCTCTGGCTAATACTTAGGTTAGTACAAAGCAAAATATGTACAAGCTATGCAAAAATGTGCATAACAAACTGAATGTTTATCCAGATATTCAAGAAATCATTACTAGAGTCTCACTGTACTTAGCAAATGAGACTTTGGTGTTACAAGGAGCAGGAAGCCTATAATCTGGTATGTAAACCTGAGAAATTACTTGATTACCAAATACAGCTTTTTAACCTCAATCTGCTAGGTGTTAGATTATCCTCTTTGAGATGGAGTTAGACTGGAAGGTTAGCCATTTCCTTCCTTATTCTAATATGACTTGGCCCAGGAATATTCTCACAGGTGTATGGAATGATGATCCTAACTAATGGGTGCTTTTTAACTTCACATTCTGTTGAAAAAAAAGCTTGAAAAGTCACTGTTTTTAGGAGTGTCAAAGCATATCTTTAGCATGCAAATCTTGTTGAGGCCTTGTGAGTGAAGATACTGCTGTTTTACATCTTTCTCTGCCTTTCATTTGCTTGGTGACAATGGACAAGTTCTCTGAGGCAATACGTATCTCATAAGGCTTTTTTTAAGGCATAATACATTGCTTCAAGGCTCAATTTCAGGGAAAACATTTGAATAATCTAATTTTACACTTGAAGCATTAATCAGAAGCATGTTATCTCTCCATGGGTGGTCCTTACTTGGAATACTTTGTTTACTGCAAGACACGCTGTTAAGATCGAAATGCCTCATAAATGTTCCACTAAACCTCATTTCAGCCATAACAAAATTATGCAGACTGAAGTTTTTGGAGATTTTGAAAGACACTCAATTGTTTTCTAACTGTATGCACTTTTGAGGTTCAAGGCAAAGATTTCTAAAGACATTCATCACATTTCTCTGCAATTTCCTTGCATTTTAAGGCATTTACATGTGGAGTGCCATTACCATGATTCAGTTACAGACATCTGATTTCTGTCATGCAGGTGTAAACCCAAAATTTTCTGTAACTACGAAAACAAGGAAAATTGTGTTATTTCGAGTCCTTGATTTTAGTCTTCTACTTTAGCCACTGGAAGCGCTGCCATTACACTAAATTACATTGCTAAACTCCTAGCACACTAGTTTCAGGTTTTGCTTGTCCACTACTTTTACTAGTCTGTTCGAAAGCCTAACAAGCAGCATTTTAGTCAGTTAAATTGAACTCAACTCACCAGTTGTCTTCAGCATTCTGTTATTTGACCAAAAAACATCCCCAGCAGTTCTAAAATTGGATCTCCCACAAAGAGTTGTTAATATGCCCAAATGACAACGTGCAGCTGAACTGACACTTCAGTCTAGGGGGGTGTCATTAATAGAATTCATGCTAAAGTACATAAGAAGATCGCAGTTGGCCCTAGTTGCAAGAAAAGGTCATAATTTAACGTGACTGTCCAAAATAACAATTTATTCTCTTAAATTGATCTTTTCGATGTGAATAGTTTTTCAAAGTGTACATAGAAAAAACTTTAAATAACCTAATGACTAATTAGGTATGCATTTGTAAATGATGCTACACAACAGCAAAGAATAATCATGGACACATAAGGAATTATTCTTCAATATATCAGATCACTGGAACAGATTTATTCAGCTTTACTGAAGGGGAAGAAAAGACCTCAGTCTTTCCCAAAAGCTTTATTGGATAAATGTTTTTGTCATCATACATACAGAAAGTTGGAGCCTGGACTATTTTGTACCAAGGCAAAAATCAAGTTTAGGAGTCTAAGGTACCTGTACGCAGGATGTGGGGCTGAAAATCTTCCTCTCTTTCAGTACTCTCCAGAAATAGCTCTGCACCTTTCAGACTTAAAGAAAAAAGACGCTTTGTTTTAGACATTACTAACATTTTGTGCTTGCTGTGTACTGTAATAACAAAAGTTATCCAAACTTCCTGACCACTTTTGCATTTTTCTTGGTACATATGTCCAACAGGTTAAATATTCAATAGGTATTAGAGCAAAAATAGTGATGACACTGAAGCTTAATAGGATTTATTTTTATGTGGTTTTTGAAAATATTTGATGACTTTTCACTCACTCTCTCTGTTTTTCTCTTTCAGGAACCCTGATGGAGATGTCAGCCCATGGTGCTACATTGCAGAGCATGAGGATGGAATATATTGGAAATACTGTGAGATTCCATCCTGCCGAAGTAAGAGCACCATGCAATTTTTTTAGGCCTGCATCTCTGTTGAACAGAGATTGGCAGTTATACAAAAGTGGGTAGTGATTTTCAAACAGGAACTAGGATAAGGCCAATCAGCTTATTTTCATTTGCAGACTGAGCAATATTTTAAACGGGCCTCTAGAGTTAATTACAAGCTTACTGAATCGTTCCTCCATTGCTGTCCTTTTAATCTCATCTCAGAATTACTGGATTATGTTATTTACAAATAATACCAGACAGAGAATCACTCAAAACTTATGAAGTACTGCTAGTTTTCTGAATCCATAGAAATATGTAATTCATTTATTACAATCTAGAGGACAAAAATGAACAGAAATTAATTGATTTTTTACAAGGTATGTATGTGTCCATCATTTGCAATTAGCTTGTAAAATGGATGGCATTAGTTTAATGTGTATAACACATCATACACAGAATTGCTTGGAAGAAATAAAGACAGTATGAGAGGACATAGGGAAAAGGTGGCTATTTGTTAGGTATATGGGAGCTCTGGGCTAGAATTCTATTCCTTGCAGGTGCAGATACTTAGCATTGCTGTGAAAGCACAAACTGGACTTTGTTCGATTTTATTTAACAGATAATTCACAAGCTATTCACCTGAAACTTCCTTGCAGTATTTAATATTTTTAATGTATTATATTATTTACCTTGTCGAAAATGTGGAAGTTTTGTCATGATTCATGTCAATATGTTCCAAAATTTTCATTCCTGAATGCTCCAGGATAAACTCCTAAGAATCACATTCTTTAAAATATGCCTAAATATTAAAAAGAGATTCCAGTATTGCATATTAACAAGCAACCATAACTACACATTTTATTAAGTCAAATCATTAATGTCTTTACTTGCTTTCCTAACTTCTTCTGTGCAAGCACCCTCTATTTCTAAGGAATAACTTCTGTATATACCATTAAGCATCAGAGCAGTTGTCCTTACATCCATACTTTCGAATGGAAGAAGTACACTTCTTACTTGAAGTTAAGAAAACAAAACCAAACGAAGAAAAATGTATCTAAAGTGATTTATTACTTTGTCCACAGTTTTCTTTTTTTAATGAATGTGAGCAAGTGATTCACATCTTCAAGCTAGGCAAACAAATACGTAAGTGTGACCTTAATTCAAGTGACTTTTACCTAGACTTAAATACAGATTAAGGAGTCTAATTTAAATAACACAAAATCATTCAACACTCCAATACTCATTGTTCAGAGGACATCTTACTCTTATTTGTCTGATATACCAGGTCCTATTTAGGGAACGTGACCCTCCTAATTAACAAATTTATCTTGGTCTAAAATGAAAGAATTTGCATTTTCTTTAAAGACCACAGATGTTAACAAATTCTCTGGATATGGCACCAGTAAAAAAGCTGAAAGGCAAATTCTCTCCACTCCATTTGTTCTACACAAAGGATCCTTTTAAAACCAGCCTCACTCATTTTCTCTGTGGTGGGGAGCAGAGGATTTAAACTTGGACACTTACTTGCACAGATAATCCAGACTTACATTTACAAAATGTCCTTTTGACCAGTAGCAGCTGCTTCAAGCATTGCACTGAAACTGGATACTAGAAAAAGGAATTGCAGCAATTTAGAACAAACTGTACATTGCAAGCCCATCCAAGTCTTAATACAAACCTCATGGTTTATGAAGCTGTGTAAGTAAAAAAAGCCTTTTATTCTTTACCAGATTTTCTGTTTTCAGTAAGCATGATGCTAAATCATAGGACCATCAAAACTGAGTTGTGAAGTGCATAATAAAAAACTGAGTTTTGTGATGGAGCAAGAAAGCAATAGTGTAAAGAAATCCTATTTGAAATTTTTAGAGAAGTAAAAAAATTGTCTTACATAAGCTTCTTTTCCATAATTATATTTACCACTAGGAAAGACAAGTATCTGGAGCATAATTTACCTGTAAACTATACCCACGTAATATCCCTACAATGCCAACAACATGAAGCGTCTTGATTGCCTAGAGAGATTTGCATGCAGTGATTCACTGTAACAATAATTAAGAATTTACAGTTAAGAATTTTTCATTATGATGATGATTTCACATGATTATATCATGTGTCTTGTTCACTAATATTTATACGTAAATGTTTCATTCAGAAATGTGTTCTGGCATGCTGCATGTCTAAACACACTATACAGAATTTAGCAATGTTAGATGAGGATGGATGGGCATAATCACAGAAGACAGTGGTAGTTACCCCAGTAGGAGCTTAGTCTTTCCTTTTCTTTCTCTCCTCTTCTTAATGGCTTGTCTGCTAAGCAGACTGGAATGGACATAAACAAAATAAAAGGCAAGAAAGCAGCACTGAGTCCTGAGAGAACATGTGCATCTCACATGGAGAATTCAGAACTGAATGCTTTAGATGGCTTGTTTGCAATGTTGCAGCTATTCCTGACTTTCTTGGTCTCGTTGTTAATGAGGTTAGGTTGAAATTCAAAGGAAATAACAACTTACGCTCCCAAAAGGTAAAAGAAAGGCTTGCTGTCCCACTTAATTGCATCTCCATGTTTATGGCCCGCATGGGTCTCTCACCACAAACAGATTTCATTACTGGGATCATATTGCCTGTGTGCATGCATGTCATGTAATAAATTTATTTATTACTGAAATACTGATGAAGTGTTAAATGACAGAGCCAGGTAAGTTATACAGAGCTGTACTGATCACTCTGTAAGATTGACCTGTATATATTTTAACACAAGAACGAAGAGAGTAGCTCATGCAATTTGAGACAATATATGGGTGCATACTACCATTGCAAAAAGCTAGGAAGCTCTTGAAAGACAGCTAGATGAGCATAGCTGGAACATGGTTTTGAGCTCAAAAGGATTAATTCCATGTTGTAATACATGTGCCTTGACATGTAATATGAAGAAGCTCTGGTGTTTGGCACGACCTCGTTATGTCAGATGCTGCTAAAAAGAAAAATACTGTGCTTGCACAAAAGAGGTGACCTTTTAAGCACAAGAGAACAAATAGATACAAATGGGTGAAGACAATGTAACAGTAAGACATCACTGATGAGCATGAACAGTAATCGCAGAACATTGACTACCTCATTTTTGCCAAGCTTCTTTAGTAGGCTAAACATTGAGAGCAAATTAAGGCAAGAGATAATGTTGGAAATTTTTAAAGGTCAGAGTAACAGTCACTACCTATCTAGAAATACTTTTGATTCTTCATTGCTTTATATATCTATTGTGGGAAAGTCTCTGCTGTGGACATACACAAGGGGAAAAAAGAACTACTTGCAGAATGACAGGGGTATTCCTTACCTGCCTTGCCAGGGCTGTTTTTAAGAGTGTTTATAGCATCATAGGGTACCCTAGGTTGGAAGGAACCTCAGGCTGTCATCTAGTCCAACCTCCTGCTCAGAGCAGGGCCAGCTCTGAGATCAGACCAAGTTAGTCAGTTTGTCAGATTAGACCAAGGTTATCCAGTCAGGCCATGACAACCTCCAGGGACGCAGAGTGCACTCCCTCTCTGGGCCCTTGTTCCCGTGCTTGAGTGCCAGCATGGTGAAAAGATTTTCCTTCTATCCAGTCTGAACATCTCATGTTTCAACTTAAGCTCCTTACCTCTTATCCAAAATGCATCACTGTGAAAACCCCGGCTCCATTGTTGTGACAGCCTCCATGTGGGTATTGCAAAGCTGCTAGGGAGTGCCCCCGAAGCCTTCTCTTCTGCAGGCAGAACAAGCCCCAGTCCCTCTTCTCACAGGGTGAGCGCTCCAGCCCTCTGAGCATCTTGGCTCTCTGCTGAACTTGCTTCAGACAATTAACATCTTTCTTGTACTGGTGGGCCCAAAATTGGACATAGTAGTCTCAACGTGGTCCTAACAAGTGCCGAGTAGAGGAACAATCACTTCCCTTGATCTCTGGTTGTGGTCATCTTAATACAGGCCTGTTGGCTGCCTTTGCTGCCCAGCACACCCTGGCTCATGTTCAGCTCCCTGTCTATCAGGACCTCCAAGGCCTTTTCTGCAGAGCTGCTCCACATACATAAATGTACACCATCTTGTTTTAGATTTATGTTGAGTGGCTCCCTATGCATACATCCTGATTCAGTTTAATATAATATGAATAAGGAGCATATTATTCTAATATACTAGAAACTGTTGAAAAAGCAGTAGTTTGTGATCATAGAAACATAGAACCATAGAATGGTTTGGGTTGGAAGGGACCTTAGAGATCATCTTGTTCCAACCCCCCTGCCATGGGCAGGAAGACCTTCCACTAGATCAGGTTGCTCAAAGCCTCATCCAGCCTGGCCTTGAACACTTCCAGGATGGGGCATCCACAGCTTCTCTGGGAACCTGTTCCAGTGCCTCACCACCCTCACGGTGAAGAATTTCATCCTTAAATCTCATCTAAATTTACTCTCTTTCAGTTTAAAGCCATTACCCTTTGTCCTATCACTACGTGACCTTGTAAAAAGTCCCTCTCCAGCTTCCAGGCCCCCTTCAGGTACTGGAAGGCTGCTCTAAGGTTCCCCAGAGCCTTCTCTTCTCCATGCTGAACAGCCCCAGCTGTCAGCCTGTCCTCATATGGGAGGGGCTCCAGCCCTCTGATCATCTTCGTGGCCCTCCTCTGGACCTGCTCGAGCAGGTCCATGTCTTTCTTATGCTGAGGGCCCTAGAGCTGGACACATTACTCCAGGTGGGGTCTCATGAGAGCAAAGTAGAGGGGGAGAATCACCTCCCTTGGCCTGCTGGCCACGCTTCTTTTGATGCAGCCCAGGATACGGATGGCTTTCTGGGCTGCAAGCACACATCACTGTGGATCTGATATAAAAGCAGTGTTTGCCACTTAGATCTTCTCCAACTGACATTACAAATGATCTCCCCTCTACTATTATGCTTATATTATGTACTCTCATTAGCCTTCAGTAGCAACTCAGTGGTGTCTCGGGTTTAGGACAGGCCCATCAGCGGCCATAGGAAGAACTGGCCTATCAAAAATCATATATACATGTACAGAAGTCATCTTTTTGTGTGTTGTCCCAGGTCAGAAGAGCATTTAATCATATATTTCATGTGGGACTACTAAAGTGCTTTTAGCTGAGCATATGTCCTTGGGCTCATGTAGTTTGCTGATTTGATATCAAAGTAATTTGAAGTGCTGGGCACTGGCATGGAAATTACTGTTCACTGTTGGGCTAGATTGAGGCTTCTCCTATTTATTCCCAATATCACATGACACTAATTTTGTTTGCTAGATATGATAAATTTAAAATACTGCTGGGACACCAGAGAGACTAATTAGCTTAGGATGTACCCAAATGGTACACTTGATTTAGTTACAAAATGTAAGTTGTTTTCAAATAACTCAGTCTGGTTTCTTAGCATGGAACATACTGAAGTACTAATCCTCTGGACACAAGGTTGAAGGGTGTCACCAATAAAGCTACTTTAAAAAAAAAAAAAAAATATATATATATATATAAATATGTGTTTTTATGAAATCCTAGGTCTCCTAGGAAAATGAGCTGAGTTGGTTAACTAGGAAGCTTTTTCAGGGCAGTGAAATCATGCACCGTACAAAAAACCTGAGCTTTCTGAGAATTATCTGCCCAGCTGTACTCAGCTGGGGTGGGTCTGCAAATGGGGATTTCCAAAGGTATGTTAAATCAGGCTGTAACTTGAAGTCTCAGTACTTATATGCATGTTGCTGCAGGGCATATCAAAGCCATAACTACATGCAAGCATTCATAATTGAAATTCTATCATTCTTAGAAAACAAAATTATTTTATGAACAATATTTGAAGCAACATTATCTAATTATTCAAAAAATATACATACTTGAATTTTCTTCCCATCTTCTTCTTTATAATACTGTAATCATCCTCCTTAAGAGTATAATCATATACATGCCAGTACATTTGCTGGGCACTAATAGATATACTAACCCTCTTCTTCAAAATAAGGAAGCTGCCTTAGGCAACATGGCCTAATTCTGAAGCAAGTTCTCAGACAGACCTGTTAACTGTTCCAGATGTCAGGATGATTCAGATTTTAACGGTGAGCTGACATCAGTTTACACGCTCAGTATCTAATATCTCAAAAGAATAGGGACGAGACCATCTTTGTTAGAATTAGAGAAACAGAAGTTCTGAATTCAAGGCATTATTTGAATGGCTGCTGCACATGGACATGTATAAGAAATCCCAGAAATGGGCCTTCCAGAATCCAATGAAGAGATACTTTCAGGACTACTGTACAAGACTGCTCAGTACAAAAAGCATCATTGCATTCTTATTGTATTTATGTGAAAGTACAATAATATAGAAGCAGTTTACTAACACACAGGTTATCTGATAGAGAAAAGGACCACCTGTACAGGAGATGGCTAGTTCAAAAGGAGCGCCAAAACAGCTAATCCACCTGCTATCAGGCATCAGAGGCTGCAAAACCCCAAACCCAGCATTTCCCCCCCCTGCCCCCCCAAAGACCTATTGGTAAGTCAAAAAGCTGAAACAGTGCTGTGCCACAAGATGTTAGCAAGAGAGAGTTCAATGTTTACTGGGTACTGAAATAACAAATGACTGAATATGTATAACTCTTACACAGTTTGCCCACATCACACGTTATATAGAGCTGTGAAGGTTAGGTAGACAAAAAATAATCCTTGTCAGTCTGGCACAGGGATAAAAATTATCTGACCACAGAGCTGGTAATAGATTTAATTCCAAGTATGTGAGCAGATATGACAGGTAGGCAAGGGATAATTTTATGCCATTAGCACAGCATTATATTGTACACCACATCTTCTCTCTAGTAGTCATAGCTAAATTCCAGTGCTTTGATGAATAGTGCAAAAACAAAACAGAAGAAAAACAGAGTATAAATTATGCGAAGGGGGAAAACACTTTCTGACCTCTCATAGTGACCAAGGAACCTTGAAATATTGTATTAATATGGTATGAATAGTTGTTTCTTTTAAAAGGTAATATTGCTCACTTTGAATCTGTTTGTACATACCATAAAATATAACACTTCGAATTTATATCAGAATTCAAGTTTTAAATATTAGGAAATTCCCCTATATAAGTATATAGTCCCTCCCATAAAACTTGCCAAACTCCGTCCTAAAACAATTTAGGTTCCCTTCCTCTAATATCCTGTTTAGAAAATGTACAGAACTTCATTGTTTTGAAGATCAGACAGAAATCACATTGTTTAATTTACAGTGTTAGAATATGCATGATCATAGTCAAAAAAACCCACAAAACCTCTGTACCCACTTAATGCCTTTTTTTTTTTCTCTATCAGGAGAAATGAACCAGGTATTTATCTTGTCTATATTACTGCAGCTTACAGACACCAACTAGAGTATTGCAGGTATATTGCTAAGAAGTTGTGATGTTATTTCACCACCTGTCATTTATCCTGGGGCACGTTTGAAAAATATGACAAGGATCTAGCATAGAGTAACATTTCCCATACTGCGAAATCAAGACAAGAACATAGAGAGAGCTGCTTAGTAACCAGGTAGTGCATAGAGTGGTCTGTGTCTTGGGTGTTTCCAGGCACACCTTTAGAATGACTGTTGTCTGTTATTCTTGCCAGTGCCGGGGAATCTAGGGTGTTACAAGGACCATGGAGCGCCGCCACCTTTGACTGGCACCAGTGAGACCTCCAATAAACTTACTATCCAAACATGCATCAGTTCCTGCCGAAGTCAACAATTTAAGGTGATTTCTTTGACATACATTTACAAATGTTTTCAGAGACAAAAGATGGCAATATGCCTAGAGCTCTCTATCATATTTCCCCCCCTTTTTTTACCTTTAGGAGGTCTAAGTTCTCACTCCCACTCCAGGGGACCTAGCCCTCTCTCTGCATCCAGAGCAGTCTGGGCAAATGACCAATTACTAATGCCAGGATGCCAGGAGAAATTATGCTTGCTTACTGCAGTTATGAGTGATAGAGTGCCCTGATTGCCCTCCATTCCATCTTTTTCACTAGTCTTAAGTAGCATCCTGATAGCTCAAACAAATCCAGTTTGTGGTGGGACCTCTGACCTCTGACTAATTGTACTTCTCCAAAACACACATATTCTGCTGCCAGCTTTCTTGCTCATACTGATGCTCATCCTGATGTCACTCCTTTAAATATTATCCCTCTCTTCCTTATGCATTTTTGTTGTCAAAGTTTGCAGGCATGGAATCAGGTTATGCTTGTTTCTGTGGAAATAATCCTGACTACTGGAGATATGGGGAGGCAGCCAGTACAGAATGCAACAGTGTTTGCTTTGGAGACCATACTCAGCCTTGCGGTGGGGATGGCAGAGTCATTCTTTTTGACAGTAAGTATTGAAACAGGCTCAGTTTTTCCCAAAGGAGAGGCCTCAAATATTCAGCAAATTAGGGAAAAGGGTTTAAATGCAATGAGAACTGTTGCACACAAAACAGCAAAACACCTAAATTCAGTATAAAATAAAGCTGCTTTCCATTTCTGCATAAAATTCATATCCATTAATAATGTGAAATAGCTCTTCCAAGAAATGATGCCTGCTCAGGCAACTGACTCATGCTCCAGAGATTGTCTCTTACTTCCCCACAAATGGTAGTAACTCAGCTATCACAAACAGCATGTCACGGAAAAGACTCCTTCAAAACTGATCTTACCAAAGAATCATAGAATCATAGAATCCTTAAGGTTGGAAAAAACCCTTAAGATCATCAAGTCCAACCGTTAACTTAACACTGCCAAGTCCACCACTAAACCATGTCCTCAAGCACCACCTCTTCTTTTTATTAACACCCCTCCAG